GCCCGGGCAAGCTGCCGGGGCACCCCAAGTCAGAGCCCCAGTGATGCCCCACTAAGCACACGAGCCATTGCCGGTGGCCTCGGTTGCCCCACGGGGACACGGCACAAGCGCTGGCAGCCGGCTGGCACGGGAAGGGCCATGGGCAATACACAGCCCCCAGCAACAAGAAGCAACACCCTGGAGCAGTAGGGCTCGGGCACAGCTGGGCATCCCCTCGCTCTGCCACAGCCCACAGCTCCCAGGGACTGGAAACGGCACAATTGCTTCGGATTCAGCTGGGCACAAGCAGAGGGCAAGGGGCAACCTGGCAGCGGGTATGGAGGAGCCTCCGAAATGCTGCATCAAAGCACGACACGGGGTCCCCGCAGACTCACCTGTTTGGTAGCCACGTCAGAGAGGTTTCGCAGGGTCCAGAGACAGTTCTGGACCAGCCTGGGGCTGGAGCTGGTCAGGTGCTTGCCCAGGGCCTGCATGCCGCCTGCCAGGGAAGGAGACACCGTTCCGTCAGTGGATACCCAACGCTGCCCCGCAGAGAGCAGCAGGGAGGGACGGTGGGTGCAGCCCCCCGTCTTAGTGGAGGCTAAACGCGGTGCGGGAAGACCGTTCCCGGCTGGCCAGCGGGCCAGATCCTGCCAGGCACAGTGCCAGGAGAGCACCTCAGCAGCCTTTCAGAGCAAGGAACCATGTGCAGGTGTTTTTTCCCTGCCTGTCTTGCACATCAGCTGTGAGAAGGGACCCTCAGCACCATCCTGGCACCCCCACCCTCCTCCTGTTTGACACCCCCTCTGCCGTAACCCCCCAGCCCCTCTTACCAGCCTCGACAATAGCGGGCTTGTTGCTGGGGCACACCGAGAGCACCTTGAGCACCCGGCTCGTGGTCCAGAGCAGCTTCTCGTAGTTGTAGCTGCGCATGATCTGCACCAGGGCCTGGGGTCCTCCGTTGGCCAAAATAATCAGCTGCAAGACAGAAGGGCCAGGGATGCAGGAGTGCTTCGGGGTCACCCCCGCCAGGGCCATGCACTGCTGCTACCCCCCCGGCACCCCAGCCCTTCACACTGGTTCCCACGCCGCAGGCAGGACGGGTACCAGCCCCCAGCCCAGCCAGCGTCAGAGCAAGCGCAGGGACCGAACCTCCGCACGAGGCCTGGACAACTCGTGCACAGGAGAAGAGGAGCAGCCAAAAGAACAAAGACAGAGGCGTTGCCTGGAGCAGCACGGGGGGGAGGAACCACCAGCCAAACTGGGACA